TGGGCCCGCAGGGGGCTGGCGGTGGGGCCGGGGGTGTCTGCAGTCTGAGGCTCTGCAGGCGGGTCTGCCGTTCTGTTACAGCTGATGCAGCCCTGCAGGAAACCAGGCAAGAGACTCTGCATTAGGCACACGGCATACTGGACTGTTTCACCTGCTTAAATACAGATAAATTAAACAAGGTAACATTCAGAACCACTGTCTTCATCCAATAAAACCCACATACACTTGGCAAACCTTCAGGATTAATCAACCTTAATGAAAATGTCTTTTAGATTCTGGCAACACAATATTAACGACTTGCCTAAGTGTTCTGTGTCCCTCAGTTGGTTTTCTGTAATTAGGGAGAGGTGGTCGTGATGTCATTGGTATCTTTTGACAAGCTGGTACTGGATAATGAGGAACATGTATTTCTCCCCAGGGGCAGCAGTGCACATATCCTAAAGCTGTGTGCCTCACTGGGGGCAGCGTTACGTGTAGAATGCCCGTGTCCGTCTTGCCAGGAGAAGTGGCGCCCGTATGGTACCTGTGTGTCGATTTCCGGGGGCAGGCCATGCTGGCAGATCCAGGGATGCACCTCAGCCAGCTCCTCCTTCTGCTCCTCTGTGAACCAGGGCTGCAGAGGCTGCAGGAGCAGCAGCTTCTTGCGGTCCTCCGTCAGAACCTGGGCCTGGTCCCTGAGCAGACCCAGCACAGTCAGAAGACACAAACACAGCATTTACACAGAACACGCTCCGGAGTCCACACACACACACAACACCGGATCCACGCACACACACAACACCGGATCCACGCACACAGAACTGTGATGCAATCCCATAGACTGACAATAATGCACAACTAGAAATAGAGAGGAAGCTTAAAACTTTTTTTTTAACACATGCAGAGACCAGGTGTGTACACAGTGCTAACACATTAACACCACTGGCCACAGTGGGCAGTGCTGGGACTCTTGACTTGTAACTGGAAGGTCCTGGTTCTGACCCCAGCACCTTTGAACAAAGTACTGCCCTGATATTGTTTCAGTACAATGCCTGCTATAGAAACGTATATAACATAAGTCAAATTAATACTTACATGTCCCAAAACTGCAGTCACAGAACACTGTATACACACAGAGATTGCACACACATTGCACAGAAATCTCAGTACACACCCCAGCCATCATACAATACTCTAAAACATGCAAAGTGTATTCTCACAACCCTCTATACCCACATACAGAAAACACATTTTCTGAACATACACACTGAGAGCAAGAAAGCAAGTGTTGGTATTTACAGACGTGCCATTTTGTTATTTAGAATAGTACAACACTGCTATTTTGTATAGCACCCAGTCTGTCTGTACAGTTTTCAAAAAAGATTAAGAAATTAAGATTTATAAGACAGCCTTTTCAGGACTCATTTAGGGTCCCAGTCAGATGCTTAAAATTCGGTTATCAATGACGATACGTCCCCATCCTGTCAGCCGGAATGACTCCCGTTTGTCAGAAATAAATTTAGGAGAGAGCTGCTCAACACAGGAAACGTAATACACCACTGGAAGGTAACGCGAAAGGGGATTTTCAGTGCAGGGGGCTTGAGGGTCACCTGCCTCATGCGCTTCAAACTGCACAGGACAAACAACTGCCACATATCCCACAGAGGCTGTGAAACCCTCACGCCCTCGAAGAGCATATCGCACGCCCCCAAGCCACCGGGACAGGGGGCGCAGGGCACAGGGCACAGGGCACGGCTGCCGAGCCGTACCTGGGCAGGAGCTGGTAGTTCATCATGATGGGCTCGGGGGTGTGCTGGATCATGGTCCACAGGGAGTCTTCCGCGCGCTTCTCGAAGCTGGCCCGCTCCGGCACCTCCTGGCTCTTGCGCGCCTTGCTGCGGGACGTGTCCGAGGAGTCGTTGCTGGCGAAGTACTTGCTGCTGTTGCCGGACTGGCTGCTCCCTGCGCCAGGCCCAGAGGAGGCAACAGACAGGAGAGTCAGCTTTCGTTTCAGTCATCACATGCCTCTGTTCAACATTGTATGGAAGAGGTGAGGAGGCTTCAGACTGGCCAGATTTCATCACCTCTTTTTAGCTCAAGGTGTAAGTTCCTGTTCGTGTGAAACGTGCCATGGGAACTTTACTAAGCATCATGTACAGCAGTGTCCTCCATCACTGCGTTGTTTTTTCTGGCGTGAAGTGTCACGTGCCGCAGAGAGAGTGCCCCCAGCTGATGCGCCATCGTGACCCCCCACTCCACATGAGCAGCACCCAGGGTCGAGCTCAGCGAAACCTTAGTCTTCTGGACAAGCTCAGGCCTCTGTGACATGACTGGAGAGAGAGGCGTCCTACCTGTATGGCTGGCAGAGGTGCCATTAGAGCCTGAGCCATTGGACCCCGAGCCCAAGGAGCCGCCGGACTCCCCCGAGCCGCTGCCCGAAACGTTTGAACCCGTGCCCGAGCGGGAGTCCTCATGCAGCAGCAGGTCCAGCAGCTCACTCGATGTGGACTGGTTGTCCTGGTTACCCGACTCACTGGGAGCATCGTCCTGCAAACCACAGGGCATGGAGAAGGAAGCAAATGGGGAAAAGGAGACACATTAAAATCACACTGGCTAAAATGAACACGTCATCTGCTCACTTAAGAAGCTAAAAGGTGAAAAAAACTTGTGGTTCCCAAGAAGCATCCAGTCAGAAACCATTCACAACACTGTTGTGCTTAGGTGAGCCTTGAGATCTGCAGTAGGCTAACTGGCTGTTTTTCTTTAGCAACATTGGTGTTGACCTATGAGACTGTGGATCTTACTGACCATCAGAGGTTTGCACAATAGGTACAACACTGACACTTCCATTCCACCTCCTTGGAGCGCTCTTTCCCCCCACCACACACACTCACACGGTGAGCCCCTGCATTGCTTAACTGGGCTTGCAAGTTACGATCCCACACTACAGCCTGTTCTGTACTTCAAATGCAGTCAAAAAGGTCCAGCTCATTTGAAAGCAAGCGTGGCTGAACTTACATTTTTTTTTTAAAAAAAAGTCAGAGACTTGAAAGAGAAGAGAGTAGCTGGCTGCGGAGACTCACCCCCTTGGTGTGCGGCTCGTGCAGACTCTCTGGCAGGGCTGCGCCGCCCTGTGGCTCTGCTGGCTTGGGAAGCTCCTCCTGCAGCAGGTTGAGCTGCAGGGGGGAGCTGGAGCGGGAGCTTGAGAAAAGGGGGGGAGGCTGAGCAGAGTCGGGGTCCTCTCCAAGAGAGGAGGGGGCCTGGGGGGACAAAGACGGGAGAGGGGGCTCGGGGGGGCCTATGTACGGCCCCTGAGGAGGATGGGTCTCGGGGAATGGAGCTGGGGTAAAGGAAGGGCAGGGGACAGCCTGTGGGGAAGGAGAAGACGCAGGGCCCACAGAGCCCACCTCCTGGGGGTACATGGGGTAGCCGGGATAGTTGGGGAAGCTGGGAACAAAGACGGCCATAACTGGAGCCACATAAGGCACCATGCCTTGCATCTGCTGCACTGGCAGTGGAGGCTGCATGGTTTGCATTGCCTGCACTGAATGGACTGGCTGCGCTGGCTGCATGGGTTGCACGCCTTGCATAGCAAGAGGATTCCCACCCTGCTGGCTGCTGGAGTTCGGAGTCATGCCCCCTGCTGCCTCACCACCCACCTGTGCCGGCAAGGGAAAGTAGGCTGGCTGGAAGGGCATGACCACGGGTGGGAGGAAGCCCATACTGGGGGCCCTGGCCTGCGAGGCCTCAGGAGGGGTCCAGGCCTGGTACAGGGGAGAGGCAGGGGCAGCTGGGGGCCTACGGGCACGGCAGCTCTCGGGAGGAGAGGCATAGCTGTCGGAGGAGCCCTGCGGCTTGGGCCGCTTGTGCTTCGGCTTGCCGGTCTTGGATTTCCTCCACCCTGTTGTGCTAGCAGGCCTTGGGACATAGTCACCTGGGAGAGGGGGAAAAAAAGGAAAGAGAGTGACTAATTCTGGCAAATTTCTGTTTCCACCCCTTGATAACACGATCAGCTGCTGTTGGCCTCAGTGATTGTTGTCCGAGTTGCGGTACAGAAGCTTTCACCATTTGCTACCTCCAGTTGTTGCAGAATAAAGCGGACAGTGTTGAACACTGTTTTGTCAGCAGGTCCCGGTGCTGCGCTGCCGTGTGGTGGGTGCCCACGCGGTGCTCACCGTGGTGGTGGGAGGGCGCCTTGCTGCTGCTGTCCTGCTGCAGGTAGGAGCTGTAGGGGCTCTGCAGGATGCGATGCTGGAAGCGGTCCACGTAGTCCTGCTCCTCTTTCTGGGTGTGCGCCGACAGCACTTCCTTGGTGAGCCCCACCTTGCGGAACTCCTCCGGGGCTGCTGCCGAGCAGAGGGCGACACGGGGGGGGTCCGCCTGCTCGCTGCCCATCGGGGCATCCTCCAGCGCGGTCACCTCTGGGGAGGGGGGGGCAGGCAGGGATAGGCTTGAACATGCCATTGCCACCCACTCTCATGTTGCAGTATAAAATAAGGTACGTGCCCAGTTACGCAGGGCATCCTCGGCTTATTCGTGCTATTTAATAAAGAAGTGCAGGAAAAACACGACTGGATGTGAAAAGCAGTATACAGTTACAGAAGACGAGAGGCTGGGGAGTGCAGAGACATGGAAAAAACAGGCAAGAAACTGCTGAGCTGCTTCTTCTGCGGGGAATAAGCGCTTCCACTGTTCCCGTCTGCCTTGCAGCATATAAGCATGTTGCTAGAGTCCTGTGAGGACATGTGTATGAGTGTGCACAAACTGTATAAGCATGGTCCTAGCATCCTGTAAGTGCAACTGGGCAAGACTGAGTGAGCACAAGTGTATAAACAGTGTGCTTGAGTCCTCTGACCTCACCTGGATGAACGTGCACAAGTGTATAAGCATATAGTGCTCGAGTCCCGTGAGCTCACCTGTGCGAGAGTGTGTCTGCAAATCCACCTGTATCTGTATGCATCTGTGTGCTCTTACCAGACTCGGGCTGGGGAACGTGAACGATGGTGCTGCTGTAGCTGCACTGGCTGGTGACGGACACCACGCTCATGGCCTTGGTGGAGAGGGTGAGGTCAGTCAGGGGGGCCCCCACCACTGCCGCTGTGGTCGTCACTCCAGACCCGGCTGACACCTGGCTGTCTGGGGCTCCAGTAGCCAGCAGGGACTCTTCTGCAAAAGACAAAAACAGCACAGGTCAGAAGACCCACGTTTCACACACAAAGCTCCAACTGCTGATGCTCATTGCCAACTACACAACAGCCACGTTCATGACTGTTGAATTGCATCCGTTCAGATAGGCACTAGGAAAATCCAGGAAAATGCTGGCAGACGGTGCTCAATGAATAAGCTGAATGCAAAAACTTTAAATGCAGGGTGAAGTGTAAGAATATCTCTTTTGCATTAATTCGTTGCATGGAGCTGCTTTTGAGCCAAATCTCTGAAGGGGAGAGGCGTCAGGGATGTGTACAAGGGTAAAAAGCAGTATGTATGAGGTGCAGCACTGTTGCCAACTGTGTAGGAGACGAGGCTGCCCTGCTTCTCCACAGCAAGCTGGTGCAGATACTGGTACTCACCCTCAACCTGCTGCGTTCCCTCCAGCAAGGGTGGGGGGGTCCTGTCTTCTTCAGAGGACGAGGAGGTGGTGTTGGACAGAGACTCGCACTTGCGCTTCAGAGCCGGGCCGCTGTAGCTCTCCAGATACCTGGGCACAGGCACACAGCATGGTTCTCCATCAGCGTTTCACTCAGTCAGCATGTTTCAGCTGTGACCTCGTCACTCCTGCAGAGCTCTGTCATTTTGCTTTACATGCTTCAGATGTAGGCTGTGTAGGTCAATGAAGAGCCGCATACAGGGAACCTTAATTGGGAAGCAGAGGGGGCTGAGAACATATTACTCAATAAGTATTTAAAGTTGGAACAGAGAACACAGATGGAAATTTAAAGTTAATGCATGTAAGACCGCTCATGACCCCCCCCACAACACACACTCATCCAGTTGTGCACCACCGCACAGGGAATTTCAGTCAGTCAGCTGGTGACGTGAGGCAGGCTCGAACCCACCCTTGCGGAGCTCTGCCTGTGCCTGAAAGAGCACCTTTTCCGATTTGGCCACCCAGACATCAGTCGTTGTCCCTATTCCTTTAACTATCCGCCAGAGCCAGACTCCAAGGAGAGGTCCGAGGGCATGGTGCTCCTACCTGATGATGCTGTCCACACAGTTGATCTGCTGGTAGGACGGAACGTGGGGCTGCTTCCTGGAGCTGCCTTGGGAGGCAGTGAGATGCCCTCTGACCTCCTGCTTCCCGGAGAGAAGTGGAAGACCTGCACTCAGTCCGTCTGCACGCCAAAAGGAAAGAGCAACATGACAGCAGATTAAGATTTTTTTTGTTTGTTTCCTGACATCGACAACTTCTCATTGTTTAAGAAAAGCAGCCGGCCTTGCAGGAAAGACCCTGCCTGCTGTGTGCGAGAGAGATCCAAGCTCAGTCCCCACTCTAGTATATCAACTTCTGTTTTTCACAAAGCTCAGTAAAAATAAAGCGACAAAAAAAACTAAAAGGGAGACGTGTCTGGAAGAAAACGTCAGACGCGCTGCTGAAAATGCTCCTTGGGAACTTGTAGGAAATGCCTTAACGAGACCCTTCGTTCATTTAGCCACCAATAAGTTTTAATACTCGAATGTGTAGAATATATATATACAGGTGGACAACTGAAATTTGTTCAGATAACTAGGAAATATCAGCTGCGTCTTTGCTTGATCTTTTGGGTCTCAATATGACGTAACAGCCCTCTA